GAGTTACCATGAGACCCAGCAATTCCACTCCAGGCATACTCCCAAGAGAAACGAAAGCATATACCCACAAAAACTCACCCATGAATGTTCCTTCTGAGCAGCAGTATTCATAATACCCAAAAAAGGTGTGCCTATTAACTAATGAATAGATAAATAAAATGTAGGATAGCTGCACAATAGAATAGTATCTATGTATAGAAAGCCCTAATATGCACATAGGCCAAGCTGGGGAACAACCAAACAACCGAACAATCAGTCACTATGATGTGCACTGACCACCAGGGGGCGCACACAGGACATGGCAGGCTTCAACAGCAGGCAGCAGAGCGCAAAACATGGCAGGTGGCAGAGCGCAGAACATGGCAGGTATTGGCAGCAGCGGGATGGTAGAGCAAGTGAACAGGGATGCCAGATCAAGGCGTGGTGCCAGTCACTGTCATCAGGGCAAGCCTCTGGTGGTTCCTGAAAACTCTTTGCTCTTGCACACCAAGGTCCCACCCAGCACTCGCACCTGCTGCCAGCGCCCAGTGCCAGAGCCTCTGCTCACACCTGTTGCCATTGCCTGGTGCCGGCCCCAATCACTTGGCGCCATCAGTGGGTGCAAGCAGCACCCTTTAGGGCTTCTCCACCTCCCCCTGCTCCTAAGGGTGATGAAGGCCGGCCCCTGCCTCTCACACCCACTGCCAGTGATGGCCCCACTCACTCTCTGCAGGCACTGAAGCCATCGTGCCAGTGCCGGCATTGCTCGAACCCACAGCTGGCGTTGGAGCTGCCACTTGTACCTGCTGCCAGTGCCTGGCACTGGTCCCAATTACTCGGAACTGTTAGTGGGTGTGAGCGGCAGCTGCTGGCCCCAGTCGTCCCTGAGGGCTTCTTCACTTTCCCCTGCTCCTGAGGGGCAATCAGGGCAGCAGCTACCATTTGCACCCACTGACTCCACTCGCTCCTGCTGATGGCGTGGAGGGATTGGGGCCAGCACCAGCAGTGTGAGTGGAGCTGGCACTGTCAGTGTGTGGGAGTGGTAGCAATGGGAATGGGGCTGCCAGCAGACAGGGGACCAGGGGCCATGGCAGGAGGGGTCAGGTGGAGGCATGGAGGATGGGCTGAGACCTGGCCCTGTACCCACTGCAGCCTTGTGGCCCACAGTTCCTTCCAAGGGGAACAAATCTGTGCACTGGGCCCCTAGTTTTGGAAACAAATAACACTGATTTATGCTAAAACCTTGAAGACATTATGATGTGTGAAAGACACCAGCCACAAAAGACCAGATTGCATGGTTCCATTTTTTTTTATGAAGTATCCCGAAGAGGCAAATCTGTAGACATAGGGTGGTGGTGGGAGGACATGGGAGTGACAGCTAATGGACATGGCATTGAGGGCTGATAAAAAGGCTCTGAAACTGATTGTGGTGATGGCTGCAGAATTCTATGCACTTGCTAACGGGGTCTTTTATGGCACGTGAATTAAACCTTGATAAAGCTGTCACATTTTTTTAAAGTAAATATGCTCAGTATATTTAAAACCTAATTTTCTTCCTTTTTTTCCCTCCCCTTCTTTCTTTCCTTCCAATCTCCTTCCCTTCCTTCTTTCTGTCAAATGTATAAGGATGGGATGGAATATGTCTGGTTTATGGAATGAAGTATAATGACCGGTGGATAAGGAAGCAAGCCAAAAGTGCAAAGCTTATTTAACTTGAGGTACTCAAGACAGAATATCTGAGGTGTAAGCAAATTGTTTTAATGACATTTATTCTTTTTCTCATTCAACACACATTTATGGGACATTTATTAAACATTTGAGGCACTTGCACTCAGTGCGATTTTATGATTTCAAAGCAACACAGAAGTGTATTTTCATAGCACGTACCCAAGGCCAGGTTTTCCGTGTTTATAACCAGTCTGCCACGACCACGCACACCCTCCCTTCCTACTCGCCAGTGGTATATACGTGCTGACTTTGGTCTGTCACGAGTTGCTTAAAAAGAGTAAACATGTGATCGTGTTTGGAAATCCCTTGATATTTACAGAAATGCAAACCACTTAGAAAATCCATAAAAGAGTTGTGTCTTGAACAAGAGTTTGTCTGATAGCACCGCTGGGAATCATGGACCCAGGGAGGAGTGGGTGTGGGGAAGCCTGCGATGCCTCTCTGGCTCCTCTCTCCATCACCAGGGTGAACCCATCAGCTTTGGTCTAAGGGGGGCTGGAGGCCACAGGAGAAACTGCTGGGCTATGAAATGACTGTCGGGAGACTCGGGTCTACCAGGGTCCTTTCAGCACCATTTCTCCTTAGGGCAAACCCAAACCTTCCATCAGTGAGACGTCAGCGTCGCATGGGGACCACCCAGGTCCCGCCAGCCTGAAGGTGGGTCAGGGGATGCAAACTGGGGTCTGGGTCTGAACTCAGATCTGGCAGGGATTTCCAGGGTCACTTTAAGAGGAAAGGGAGCTGGAAGTTATCACTCAGAACTCGTCTAGGTGAGAAAGAATTCTCTGGACCTGTTCTACCTTAAGCTTACATCTTCAGGATGTAATTGGATTGGGTTCTGGAGAGTATGCATAGAAACAGGGGAAAGCGGCCGTTCACCTCTTCGATGTAAGGATCTTCCCTTTATCTTTGTTATTGGCAGGTCGATCCAATGGTCATTATCAGCCTCCTGGAATTAGCCACGAAGTGGTAAAATAATCCAGAAAAGGTTGTCTATGTACAATATTCCTCACAGATGTTACTTCTGTGAAACCAAACCATTTAGAGAAAGTAAAATTTTCCTGGGGGAAAGAAGGCACCTTTAAAACCAAAAATCAAAGGGGTTGGGGAGAGAACTTTAGCCAAAGAATCCAGCCACTAAAATGCATGTATTCTTTAAGGCACAAAGTGTTTTTTCCCTTTAGCGGCTGGATTTTCTTAGTTAGTTACCAATAGTCATCATTCCAAAAGTTCTTTATTCTCATTCATTGCTTCAAGAGCATTTATTGAGTAACTTCGTCAGACCACTACCTGAAATTTGATTATGTAACTTGAAGGTTTTAGGCATGAGTGTGTGTGTGTGTGTGTGTGTGTGTGAGTGTGTGAGTGTGTGTGTGTGTATGTGTGTGTGTGTTGTGTGTGTGTGTGTGTGTGTGGTGTGAGTGTGTGTGAGGTGTGAGTGTGGTGTGAGTGTGTGTGGTGTGTGTGTGTGAGTGTGTGTGTGTGGTGTGAGTGTGTGTGGTGTGAGTGTGTGTGTATGTGTCTGTGTGTATATGTCTGTGTGTGTGTGAGTGTGTGTGTGTGCGTGCTGTGTGTGCGTGTGGTGTGAGTGTGTGCTGTGAGTGTGTGTGTGTGGTGTATGTGTGGTGTGAGTGTGTGTGTATGTGTGAGTGTGTGTGTGTGTGTGTGGTGGTGGTGGTGGTGGTGGTAGTGGTAGAGGTGTGGGTAGAACAGAGCAGGAAAGACAAATGCAGGACAGCATACATGTTTAGACCCCTCTTCATTCAATGATCCACTTTTAACCGAATTGCTTGTGTCTCTTTTCAGGATCCTTGCTTCACAGGAAGGCGGGCGGAGCGGTGTTCATCAGAGCTCCATCCTTTAAGGACAGAGGAAGCTGGAACAATGGGTGTGCACTTAACGTCCGCTGCCAGTGCTGAGAGCACCGATTTGCTTTTAACCAGATAGAGGCTGGTCTGCCTTCTGTCCCTTGGATCCGATGCTGCGTTCTAAAATCACGTTACATAGTCCTTAGGAAGCTTGTGTGGAGATGCAGCGGACGTTTTGAAGCAGGGACCCTTCGCTCCCATGATTCAAGGCACAGAGGCGGCTGGCTTCGCCTTCGGGAGTCGGGGTGAGCGCAAATATCCGCTCTTCAAGGTCAACTCCCTGGAAGGGCGTCATCCTCCCGAGGAGACGGAGGTTGTTTTCCTGACACAAAAGTCTCACTGGCGGATCTGCCTCGCTTCCTGCAAAGTCATTTTTAAGACAGTGATGTGTGTCCATGAGTCGGATCGCTTAAACATTCAGTTGTCCCTTGTCTGTGCAAGATCCCCTGCGCCTAACTCCATGACGAACTGAAAACATTCCAGCCAGGCTCAGCGGCTCGTCTCTCGAGGGTGGCGGCTGCACCACTTTCCTAATCATGGCTTGTTGGTCAGCGATGGGGGTTTGACTCCATCAGGTTCTCTGCCCCCACCCCGCCCTGGTTTTCCTTGGAATTTGTGGTCACACAGGGATCCACTTTGCTACTGTTGTTTAACAAGCAAAGCTCCAGGACACTGACGCATCAAACTTGTACTTAATACATCGCCATTCCAAGCAATGGCCTGAGATTTCTGCAGATATGTCCCCTCGCTCACCAGCCAGATACCTTTCCCAGCTGTAATGTGCATCGGGCGTTGCTATAATCCATGTTGTGTGTGGTGACCCAAAGAGTGTAGTCTCTGAGAAGGCCTTCACGCTGGCAGGCAGCAGGCAATCCATTAGCCCACCCACAGCACGCTTCAGGCCTGGATACCCCGTGAGAAGTCACAGGGGAGCCCTGATCTACGCTAAGCCTTTTCTGCTCCTCAAGGCGAAGTGGACATTTTTGTGCATCCCGACTCTGGGAGGGCAGTCATGCCTGCCGCCTTATTCTGAGTTCTCCAGTCCTTCGGGCTTTTGATTGACGGGTGGCCCACGCTAAGATAACACCCTTTTTGGGTCTTTGTAGAAGATGGAAAAGCTCCAGGAGCTGGGACAGGAACAGATGGCAGCCACGGCTGTCACGGGGAACCTCCTCTCTCTGGGAAGGAAGGTGTGGCCGTGGAGGGCTCCTGGGTGTGCACAGGGCACAGGCGAGGGGCTGCTCTGTGCTCAGCGGGGCAGAGCGGGGTCCCGGACCCTCACACAATAATCTCTCAAAGGCTGCTTGCTAGGGACAGGCCCTTGCTCAGACAGTTCATCTGAATTTCCAAATGAAAAAGAAAGGACAAGCTGACATACAGCTGAATAGATTAAGAGCAAGATTTTCCTTCTCTTCAGTTCAGATATTTGTTTTTTTAAGAAGTAGGGATTTTTTTTTATGTATAGAATCATCCAAGAATAAAATATTGGCAGTGTGTGTGGCCTTGATTGCGTTCAAGAAGCTATTACTCAAATAGGACATAAAACTGTTCCCTGTGAAGGCCCCCTTGGCCGAGTGTTTGGGACAGGGAGGAGCAGCTACTGAAGGAACAAGAGCAGAGTCAAGGCCAGGGCCAGGCCGGGGGGCAGAGGCCGCGGCGCAGGGCTGGCCGGGCCCTTCAGCATGCACATCACCCGGGACCAGGACCCGTTGTTGGGCAGCGGGGTGATGCCGGCCGCGCGGCACATGAGGTTGTAGACGTCCACGGAGCGGATCGGGGCGGCTCGGAAGTTGGATTTGAAATCTGAAAGACAAAGACGGGCAAGCAAGTCATCACCATCCGCGACCTCCGTCCGTGACCGGGCAGGGAGGGGCGCGACCCAGGGTGGAGGAATCACACTCAGACTCCCGGGACTTTGGGACTGCACAACCAGCTCTGTCAGGGGGGCGTGGCAGATGCAGAAGGCCACAGGTTGTGAGAGGAAGTAGCTTTCTATGGCTCCTAGAGTTCCTTTAAGAGACAAATCCGCCCTGGCTGGATTGGCTCAGTGGATAGAGCGTTGGCCTGCGGACTCAAGGGTCCCAGGTTCGATTCCGGTCAAGGGCATGTGCTATGGTTGCGGGCACATCCCCAGTAGGGGGTGTGCAGGAGGCAGCTGTTCGATGTTTCTCTCTCATCGATGTTTCTAACTTTCTATCCCTCTCCCTTCCTCTCTGTAAAAAAAAAAAAAAATCAATAAAATATATTTTAAGAGAGAGAGAGAGGGGAGAGAGAGAGAGAGAGAGAGAGAGAGAGAGAGAGAGAGAGATCGATCTCCGCCAGGCAAGGAGCATGGTTTACGCTAAAGGTCAGCCTGGGCCAGACTCCCTGACTTCCTAAACGGCATGTGGGCAGCCGCCAGGATGCCGGGCCTCCTCCCTGAGTGAGAGGCGCCTACAATTAACCAGGAGGGCTGGGCCTTCATCTCCGTGTGCAGCTAGAGAGCCAGGAATGGCCTTGCTCTTAAACTGTCTTCTGAGTGAACAGCCCGTGTGTAAAGCGGTTCCATCTCTCACGGGAGCCGGAGGCGGGACGGTTGGCACGGCTCTCCCGGCCCTCTCTGCCGGCGAACGTGTCTGCAGGGAGCCCGGGCGGTTTGCATCAGGGGTCGTCTTTCGGCCTCTGAGAGACACGGGCTTTTAGTAGGCGGGGAGCCCGGGAGGGAGGCCTGTGCTCATGGACAGAATCTCCCCCACCGAAGCTAAGGCAGCTCTGGGTATTTTGTTTAACGTTTCTGGTTGGCTTCTGCTTTAAGATACAGCCCGGGCCTCGCTCATAAACACTCCTTCAACGGACAACTGTTTTGCATTCATGATCTTTTCTTTCTCTCCGGGGAAGGGAGAGGTGATGGTTTTGAACGAAAGCCCGGCCGTCTGGTGCTCTCCCGGATTGAGGCCACGGCCCTGGAGTGTCTCCAGCCTAACCTAGCAGTTGACCTCCACCGAGTCCTCGGGGTCTCATCACTCATTCCCTCAGCTCTGAGCTGCATGGGTCTGGCAGGGCCCGGGCTGCTGGGGAGCACCTGAGAGCTATTACTGGTTCATAGCAACATGCTACACACCATCTGCACGCCCCCCTCCTCACCCCCCGCCCTGCTCTGCCCCAACCCCAGGCCCAGGCCCAGGCCCAGGTCCTGACCCGGTCAGGGCTCTGAGATGTTTGCTGCTACTGTTTGTGATTCTTCCTTCGGCACTGGGTGTGGGGAAGGACTTGGACCCATGAGTTCGCTAAGCTCAGGCTGCCAGAGGCCCCACGGAGGGAGCGGACACAGGCAGCCCGGGCTCTCAGCAGCTGTGTCTGGGTAGGGAGAGTGGGCCCAGCAGGGGGTCGGTACCTGCCTTTGCTCCCCAGGGTGGTCTCTAGCTTATACTTTGTAAGGAAAGCGTGGCTTTCATGGATGGAAGCCTTCTTTTCGGCATCCAGAAAGGGGCATTTGGAATGTGGGTATCAGGGTCGGCTCGGTCTCTTTAACCGGGAGGGTGGACAGTAGCAGGAATGCAGCTCATGAGCCAGTCAACTGACTGGTGATGGCTGTTGAATGCTCTTTACCCTAATTATTATTATTATTATTTTTTAATCCTCCCCTGAGGATATTTTTCCATTAATTTTTAGAAAGTGGGAGAGGGAAAGACGGAGAAACATCAATGTGAGAGAAACACGTGGATTGGTTGCCTCCTGCACGGCAGGGCCCGGCTGGGGGGAGGAGCTTGCATCATGGTACATGCCCTCAACCAGAATCCAACCAGGTACCCTTCAGTCCACAGACTGATGCCCTCTCCACTGAGCCAGACCAGCTAGAGCTAACCTAATTGTTTGTTTTTAAAGAAAGGTGGTTTCAGGTAGTAGTATGATCCTCAGAGTATTTGATAACCTTTTGCAAAATGTGAATTTCCGGTGCTCTACAAAATGAAAGCAAATGACCAAATAGACCCTCTTCACCCCTGCTCTCTGCCCGCCCCAGGATTTATCTGGTTGAGGAAGTCAGCCTTCGGGGCATTTCCCAGCCTGCCCTGGAGCGCAGGCCAGCTTCTGGTTGCCCTAACCCGAATGCCCCCCCAGGGCTGGGCACTCTCGACAAGGAGGGGGTGTGGGGAGCCTGGCCAGGGAGCAGCCACATCAGTGCTGAAACTCGCAGCTGTCAGCACGCTGGCGTCCGGTAAGCGTTCCCGGACATCAGATGGCTGTGAACTCACATTCTGATGAATTAAGTGAAAAATGAATCGCAAACATGTGGAACACATTTTCCACACTGCACTCAGGGTTTAAAATTTACAAGGAAAACTATTCAGCCACATTTGCCAAACCCAAGAAACATTTGAAAGCCAGCCAGCGAGGGCTGTCTCCCGGAGACCGGCTGGGTCTGCTCAGCGTGGCTCATAAAGCAATCAGGCCGGCCTCCCTCCGCCCCGAGCCCCCGGGGCGTGGCCTGGGGAACCCCGTGGCTCCCCCGCCTACCGGGTCCGAAGGCCAGGAAGATGCCCCGCATGTCCATGAGCTCATTGTCGTAGCCGTGCCACCCACGCTGCCAGCCTTCTCTCTTGCCGGTGCTGTTCATCCAGAACGGAAGCTGCTCTCGGCTCTGAAACCAACAAGGTGGTTACTTTCCCGGGTCCCAGCCCCGGGGCCCGGGAGCACCGGGCCCGACCACCACCCGGCGGCAGCGGGCACTTCCTTCTCGGCATCGGGTCACCCCTCCGATCACTTCCACTCCGGAGCTCTGCCCCTGGGAGGCAGCCCGCACGTTGCCAGACAGCTCTGGGCATGCAGGCGGTCTCTTCCTCAGAGCTGAACTACACCCTGCACCTAGTAATCAGATGTCTTGGGGGTTTTATTTTATTTTATTATTTTACTAGAGCTAGAAACATGGATGAGAGAGAAACATCGACCAGCTGCCTCCTGCACACCCCCTACTGGGGATGTGCCCACAACAAGGTACATGCCCTTGACTGGAATCAAACCTGAGACCTTTCAGTCCGCAGGCCAAAGCTCTATCCACTCAGCCAAACTGGTTTTGGCTATTTTATTTTTTATTTTATTTTTTCCATTGATTTTTAGAGAGAGTGGAAGGGAGCTGAAGAGACACAGAGAGAGCTACATCGATTGGCTGCCTCCCACAGGAACCCCGACCAGGGCCAGGATCCAACCTGCAACCGAGGTCCATGCCCTTGACCGGAATAGAACCCGGGACCCTTCCATCTGCAGGGCCGATGCTCTATTCCCTGAGCCAAGCTGGCTAGGGCCATCGTCAGTTTAGAATCACTAGCTACCAGCAGCACACAGGCCAGCTCACCAGACAGCAAGAACCCCATGTAGTCAGCATGCCGTGCGGTGCACTGAGAGCCGACACCGCCCTTCACCGAATCACCACAGCATCCCAGCATGGGCAGTATATGGTATGTCCCTGCTTATAGCTGAAGAAACCAAGGCACACCCGGGTGAACCGCTGCTCTTAAAGCTGCCGAGAGGCAGGCCTGGGACGAAACCCAGGCACCATCTCCTGTCCTTACACTGACCACAGCCAGAGGTCCCCAGCGCTCCTGCAGGCCCGCAAGTGAGGCCCTTCCTGTCCCTGCCTCCTCACTCCCCAAAGTGGCAGCCAGTTATAAAGGAGAGAGAGAGAGAGAGAGAGAGAGAGAGAGAGAGAGAGAGAGAGAGAGAGGGAGAGAGAGAGGAGAGAGGGAGGGAGAGAGAGAGAGACTTTGGAACTGGATGGGTGTGGGTTAAGTCTCACCTTGCCACTTCTTAGCCTGTGATCCACCTGAGGCTCAGGTTCCCAGCGGAGCCATCACACCTGCCTCAGGAGGGTTGGAGGATGACCTGACTGTGTGCTCAGGGCCTGACACACAGGAGGTGCTCACCAAATGGCTGCAGCTGGTCCCAGATGCCCGGGCTGTGGGGCAAGGTGCTCTGGCATGACGGCCGGGCAGGGGCGGCGGTGAATCCTGAACTCGCCTCTGCGTATTTAGCTGTCAGATCGCATCGCACACCATCCCCTCTCAGCCCATCCATCGCCCCCAGCGTGACTGGTTGCCAAATGGCACTCTGTCACTGCCGCTCCGTTTCCTGAGTCTCTGTCACCCTCGTCCCTCCTCCTCCTCCAGCTGCAGCTCGTGTTTTTCCACGGGCACGCTTTCGTTTGCATGTTGCATTTCTGACTTGCTAGACTGTTTCTGATTCTGAGCTGGTGATCAGGACGCGTCCCAGTTTAGCTTTGTCACAGTCAGGCAGACTCCTGGATGCCAGGCAGGACACTGAGTTGCTGGTGACTTCCCTGATTATGAGCCCCACCCGACACAAGAACCCCGAGACAGAGGCACAGGGGGAAGGGAGATGGAGACCAATGACCTGATTTAAAAATTCCAGTGGAAATTCCACAAATAAACACACCACCATGAAAATCTGTGCTCACAGGGTGACCCATGAGTTTCCGGACAGGGACAACCTGCTCCAGGGACCACTGTCCTCAGACTTTCAAAAGCAGCGGTAACCTGGCTGCTTGTGGGAGAAGCTGGCCATTTCCGGTGAGCGACCGGACGGGATATGCTCCGTGTGGGGCACTGGGTGAATGATGGTTGCTCCTCCTTTCCCACCGAGGGCTTTCCCCACCGGCACACGGCTCCTACGTTCCCCTCCCGGTGCTCTCGTCGGGGGCAGTACTGACGAGGCATAAACCTGCCCCGGAGGGCGAGCCCCCGGCTGCCCATCCTCCAGCTGCCGGTCGAGGAGCCTGACCCCACCTGGAGACTTCTAGGGAGGTGCCCAGACTCTCCAGATTTGGCCAAAGGTGAGATGGGGTGGGACGTGTGTGTGTGTGTGTGTGTGTGTGTGTGTGTGTGTGAGTGTGTGAGTGTGTGTGTGAGTGTGTGTGTGTGTGTGTGAGTGTGTGTGTGTGTGTGTGAGTGTGTGTGTGTGTGTGAGTGTGTGTGTGTGAGTGTGTGTGAGTGTGTGTGTGTGTGAGTGTGTGTGTGTGAGTGTGTGTGTGAGTGTGTGTGTGAGTGTGTGTGTGTGAGTGTGTGTGTGTGTGAGTGTGTGTGTGAGTGTGTGTGTGTGTGTGTGTGTGTGTGTGTGTGTGTGAGTGTGAGTGTGTGTGTGTGTGTGTGTGTGTGAGTGTGTGTGTGTGTGTGAGTGTGTGTGTGTGAGTGTGTGTGTGTGTGAGTGTGTGTGTGTGTGTGTGTGGCCATGGGGAACACAGAGGCCATAGGGGAAGCTCTTGCAAAAAGTAATGGTGGGTAGAGCGTCAGCCTGCAGACTGAAGGGTCCTGGGTTCGATTCCAGTCAAGGGCATGTACCTTGGTTGTGGGCACATCCCCAGTAGGGAGTGTGCAGGAGGTTTTGATTGATGTTTCTCTCTCATCGATGTTTCTAACTCTCTATCTCTCTCCCTTCTTCTCTGTGGAAAATCAATAAAATATATTTAAAAAAAAAAGAAAAAAAGAAAAGAATAAATACAAGGTGAGTGCTGACCTGGGTGTGTGACGGGCCTGGGGGTAAGGTTTCCTTACAGACCCCTGCCGCTCAGAGTCTGGCATCGCCATTCTAAGTGCTCTCCCGAGAGGCCCCGTCAGCGAGTCCCCACGGGGCCCAAGGAGCCTCGCTGACGGGGCCTCTGGGGAGAGCACTTAGACGTGTGTGCCAAGAGCCTTCAGACGTGTGTGCCACAGGTCGCTGCAAGGAGATGTCCTTCTGCCTGTGTCTCTGTCCCTGTCTGAGACGGCGCCCTCTTTCAAAAGCAGGCGGGACTGCACAGGCTCTGGCCCTGGTCCTGGAAGTGAGAAATACCTCACAGGGAATCCAGCCCTGGAGAGGAACGGGAGCTCCTGGGCGAGGGGAAAGGGAAGGGAAGGGAGGGGGAGGACGGCACTGTATGGATGGAGTTTCTCTCCATGCCCCTACCCCATCTTGCTTGTTGAAGTGTGCCAGGGGTGCAGAGGGCAGGCGTGTGTGCTCAGACGGCTGGCACAGACCACCCTCATCACCACCAGAGAGCCAGCAGCTCCCAGCACTCAACCCCCGCTCCTGGGAGCGCCATTAGCCAGGCCTGGACAGTGCCACTCCGGCTGCCACCGCCCATCGGAGCCGCCTCCCCCAGATCGTCTTAGAGCACTAGTTAAGTATACAATTTTACCTGTATGTTCCCAAAAATTCTAGGTTAGCACTTCTTAGTTGGGATTCAGGAATCTGTAGTTTAACAACTCCACCAGGTGATTCTCATCATGAGAGAAGTTTGGGAAACACTGAGTCTAAGTCAACAGGAAAAATGCCCTCAGGTGAGGACTAACAAAAACAAATAAATAAATAGAAGTCACCTGACCAAGCCTCTTGATTCCCTAAAGAAGGAAGCCATGTAATGAGCTACATCTAAGTGAAAACAAAACCTCTTCCCTAGGAAGGCTGAAGAGCTACCTGGTATCTTTGGTTGTTTGAGAGAACTCGCCTAAGGCAGTGGTCGGCAAACTCATTAGTCAACAGAGCCAAACATCAACGTACAACGATTGAAATTTCTTTGGAGAGCCACGTTTTTTAAGCGTAAACTTCTTCTAACGCCACTTCTTCCAAACAGACTCGCGCAGGCCGTGGTACTTTGTGGAAGAGCCACATGCAAGGGGCCAAAGAGCCACAGTTTGCCGACCAGAGGCCTAATGGGTAAATGGCTGTCTGTTTTATAATTACCTCCGTTATGAACCACCCTTCGTCGGCCAGTAAGGTCAGGGGAGAGACGAACTTCCCTTTCTTGTAGTGGAACCTGCTCGGGATGGCTTCCTTCTCGTAGACGGTCATGTGCTCCACGGTCCTCAGCTTGTTGTAAATCTGCAAAGAAAGGCAGGGTGACTGGGGTTGCATTCTCTTCGTCACATGAATGTGAATACTGAATGCACCTGGAGGAGAGGGCGGACTTGATAAGACTAAAAAGAAAGAAGAAATTACTCACACAGCTGATAGACGTGGCTACGTAAAAAAAAAGAGGAACTCCCATATGCCTCCGAAAACAAGGGGTTCCCTTAGGAGCATTGTGAGAGCCCCTGTGCATGTGCACCTGTGTGTCTGTAGAGGGACACATTCTGCAGACTGGAGCAGCCCCAAAGCCTAGCGACAGTGGAAGGGGTACCTGGGTCGAGGCGATAATGGCAGTGGAATATTATACAGCAATGAAGAGGAAATGGATTACAGCGACACAGAACACCTGAATTTCAGTTTGAGACACACACACACACACACACACACTCACACAAAAGCAAGTTGCAGAAGAATACAGACAAGAGTTTTCTTATTTTGGAAGGTTCAAATAACTACAAAAACTAATGACCATGTTTGGTAAAACTATAAAGAGAATTAGGGAAATGATCACTTGAAATTTAGGACAGTGGCTTTCTCTGAGGAGGCTGCACAGGTGATAGTGTCTGAGTAGGGCACACAGGTGTTCCTACAGGTAACGCTACTGTGCTATTTCTCAGTATATTGAATATACACTGATGGCCAGATTATTATGATCTCTGAACGTATAATAATTTGGCCACTCAGTATATATTAGAGGCCCAGTGCATGAATTTGTGCATGAGTGGGGTCTAGCCAGCCTGGCCAAGGGGAGGGAACATAGGCAGTTGGCTGGGACTGCCTGCTGGTCGAACTCCTGGTTGAGGGGACAATTTGCATATTAGCCTTTTATTATATAGGATATACACTGAGTGGCCAGATTATTATGCGTTCAGAGATCATCATAATCTGGCCACTCAGTGTAAGGTACCATCGTAATATTATCCTTTACACCTTACACACATTTTATAGTAATTTTTGGTATTTAATAACAAATGAGCAAATTACAAAAGCTTATGTATGTCATTAAAGGGAGAATGAGATTAAAGGGAGAATGAGAAATCAGATACCACCATGACCAAAGAAAGAGGGTTTGTTCTCTGACTTGACCTAGAGCATGTCCTACCTACACTCCAATCTTTTTTTTTTTTTAATATATTTTATTGATTTTTTTACAGAGAGGAAAAGAGAGGGATAGAGAGTTAGAAACATTGATGAGAGAGAATCACGATCAGCTGCCTCTTGCACACTTTCTACTGGGGATGTGCCTGCAACCAAGGTAAATGCCCTTGACTGGAAACGAACCTGGGACCCTTCAGTCCACAGGCTGACGCTCTATCCACTGAGCCAAACTGGTTTCCGCTCCAATCTTTTTTTTTTTTTTTTAATTATTATTTTTGTACATATACCATTGCCCTCCCTCGGCTCCAATCTTAAAAGTACCAGTAGTTTGCCACTGATTGCACTGCTGGTTTCCTGATGACATGTAAACTCGTCACACCCCTCCCATATCTAGCAGCAGCTTACATGTTTCTGGCCAAAATGAAAACCCACTGGCTGACGCAGAGGAGCCGACTGCAAATTGGAGTTTATCCACTGGACTCTGAAATTAATTAGCCCTCGGGCTGTTTGGCAGAGTTTCCGATGGGCCCCTGCGTTGTGACTTCCTCCTTACGCAAGTCCGTACTTCGGTGAAGTGGGGTGCCTGTGCCGCAAGCTTTTGGAGAAGGGGAACGTCCGAGGACACATGGCGGTCTCACCCACGGTTGTGTCCATCACGTGACAGACTGTCACCCAAACACGGCCCCCACGTGTGGATGATCTACCAACTGCTCTAGGCAGCTGGCAGCCGCCTGGTTGGGAGGAGCGCTTCCCAGCTCACAAGCTGCCGCCTCCTCGGCATCCCAGAAACAGTGCCCTCCTAGGTGCCAAATTGGGGGTGCGGGGAGCCTGCCTGCCAGGGAAACAGACCGTCACCGAGAGAAGCGGTGACTGTGGCTCCTGCCTGCGTGTGAGACCGTCATCTCACTTCGTGTGGAGGGAGCTCACGGGACATAGGGCAAACACGCCTTCCCTTCCTGAGAAAAAGGGATGTCTGCTGGGGGAGGCGGCAGAGCTGGAGGCGGGGCTGTGGACCACTGAGTCTCTCAGCTCCACACGGACAGCTCTCAGGCTCTCGATGGGTTGGGTGGGATAAAATAAAAAGAGGAGTCTCTCTGAGCCAAAGAGAAAATTTTGGCCAAAGTCTACACCTGCGCTCCATCTACACCGGCAACCTCCCAGCACCTGTGGGCCAGTGTTTCGCGGCTGTGAGCATGGGGAAGGCACCAGACCCGCCAAGGCCTACTCCTGGCACCCCACGACTGCCTCCTCCACAGCCGGCACCACCTGTCCTGGCCCAGAGCAGTTTCTCTGGGAGATGGCAGGAGCCCCACTGGGAGACAACCATTGGGTGGGCAGAGTGTTCACCCAACGGTACCACCTGCTCCTCCTCCTTTCCTCGGGTGATGCAGCACCCAGTTCTCCAGATGTACTTGGTGTTTGGGGAGAAGGGTGGGTTGAGGCCTGTGATCTCAGGGTGCTGGGTCCCCGGAGGGCAGAGATGGGGGGAGCAAGCGAGATGCCACATCTGCACGTGTGGGAATTCCACCACACCCCTTGGGAGCACCGGCCTTTGATGGTGATGATCATAGTGACACGTGCATCGTCCGTACAGGGCCAGCGCGCACCTTGTTTTCCCGCAGCCCCGACAGAAGCTGGGCTACATGGACAGGGGGGCCTGGGTAGGAAGATGTGGGTTATGGGGAGCGGGATGGGACCCCAGCAGAGTGCGTCCTGAGCCAAAGCTGACCACAGCCCATCCACCTGCTTGTCTGACTGACGGACAGTCGGACGGGGCTGCTCCCGAGAAAGAGCACGTGCGTCCGATACTGCCCGACAGGTGCTACGGGGCCAGCCACAGGCGTGGGAAGGGCTCAGCACTCAGCCTGCGAAGCACTGTCCACGCTTTCTCTCCTTCAGTGGCCACTAACGGTCAGTGCGGCAGGTCCCGGCACGCCCATTTTAGAGAAGGGGAAACGGAGGCAGGGGAGGCTGAGATGGTGATGGAGATCACCAGCTGTAGCAGGACAAAGACCAAGCGCAGAGTGGTGGCCGGGCCCCATTCCCTCCCCTCCCGCGTCCGCCTCCCTTCCCCGCCATGTGCTGCTTGCCTCCGCGTGCTTCCCAGGGGCCGGCCAGAGGCTCACAAGGGGCCCTCGGTCCTTCACTTGCTGCAGGTCCCCCAGGCTGACGTGCTGCTTCAGCTCAATCACTTTGTCCTCCCAGAAGATGTCCGTCATCCCATGGTCAGAGAAGATGATGACATTGAGCTTGTCCTGCAGGTCCCGCTCCTGTGGGTGGACAAAGGCGGTGATCACAGCAGGGAAAGGGAGGGGGAGGGGGAGGAGGAGGAGGAGAAGAGAAAGAGAGGGGGAAAGGGAAGGGGGAGGGGAAGGAGGAGGAGGAGGAGGGAGAGTGAGAGGGGGAGAGTGAGGAGGAGGGGGAGAAGGGGGAGCGAGAGGGGGAGAGGAAGAGGTAAGGGAAGAAAGGGGAGGGGGAGGGGAAAGAGGATGTGTAGGAGAAGGGGAGGTGTTTTAAGCTACACTTTATAGAAGAAAGGACACATGACCAAGTCTGAATTCAATCGTCTGCTCCCCTCCTGAAGTTGCAGTTCACACTCAGCAGAAGCACTCCGGGGAGGGGGTGGGCACTGATCCCACTCCAGAGACACATTCGGGCCTTTCATCCAGCAAAGTGCCCTCACTGTTGTCATCTTTGGCTCTTTCAACCAACTCGCATGGTACTGGAACTGTCCCTCCCATTTCACACATGTGCAAAACACCTTGCCTCCGGTCACTCAGCCAGGCCATGGCACCCGAGGGACAGAGCCCGGCCTGGCTCCCAGGCACTGACTTGGGTGCAGAACCGGGCCAGCTGGCCAGCTGGGCTGGCTACGATGCCATCTATGTCTCTTCCCGCCCCCAGGCCCTGGCTGTCAAACAAGGGGTCCCCTGGTCCCCGAGGAGGGGTGAGTGAGGAAGGGAGACCATCACGGCCTGGGGCTGGCCTGTCAGCTTCCACAGCAGGAGAGGATGCTGAGGGGCGTGACCCTCCAGGGGACAGACAGGCAGTGACAGGAGGGAGGGCAGCGGGGGCCCTGCTCTCGGTCCGGTCACCTGGATCCACTGGGCCATGTGCTTGAACACGGTGTCCACGGCCTTCAGGGCGTCTTTCGTCTGCGGCGACGAGGGCCCGTAGTGGTGGCCCTCCACGTCGATGCGCTCGTGGTAGACAGCGGCCAGGTCAGCGCGGCCACTCCTGGGGGCAGCAGGGGGAGAGTCAGTGCCGAGAGGCCCCCCCGTCTCCACTCTCACCCCGCTCCCAGGCCCTGGTGCATCAGCATCCTCAAACCCTCCCCGAGGGCGACAAGGCCGACAGCCCTAAATGACAGGGTGAGGTGGACATGGGGGTCCTTGGAATATGGGGGCGGGGGGACACTCTCTAAAGGACACGATGGTCTAACCACCACGCTGTGCCTCTGAAACAGGTACAGAATAATACCGAACATAAGAGCTAAAGGATGCAGAATCTGTGCTGAAAATGAACAGGATGGCATCTGCAAGGAGAGGCAGGAATTCAGCACCAAGACACGCCGGTCCTGAGCACCTTGGTGACAAGGGTCAGAGGACACGTGCATGGGCCCCTCGTCTCTGGCTGCTGTGGCATTGCCCGTCACGGCCCAAGGTGGAAGGCGTGGGCACAGGCAGGGATGCTCTGATAGCTCCGCCCCCGCCCCCTGCTGGCATCGGGGGCCAGAAAAAAGAGAAGCAGCCCTTTAAATAAGGGGGTCCCGTTATTGCTGGGCGGTCGAGGGGCCTCTGACTGCGGGGTCACTGATGGGCCAGAGCAAACGTCACCCCGGCCTTCTGGGAGGCGAGCAGGTCCGTGCTGGGGGCTGACACCAGCACACACTCCGGAGCCCTGGTCCCCTGGGGACACGGGAGGGCCAGCCCCAATGCGGACAAAGAGGGAATGCTGCAGTGACCACACTGCTGTGGGTCCCAGGAAAAACACCCGCTAGTGGCCAGAGGACTTGGGTAAAAGCCAAGTTAACTTAACCCCCGAGGCCCGGCCAGGAGTGGCAAGAACTGGTGATGGAAACTGGAGATGGAAGAAAATTGTCTCACGTGGCGTGTGCCACCGGAGCCTCCTCCTCAGCCCTGCCTTTGCCCAGAACCTCAGAAAGCAGCGATGGTGCTGCTGGTGTAATGAGCTTCTTCCCTAGGAACTGGTACAAACTGGAGTAATGGAGAGGGAATGAGAGCCAGTTGGTTTGCTTGGACTTTACAAGGATTGATAATTAACACTCTGGTGGAATCCCCAATTTCTCTTGAGAAGCTTTATGTTAAATGCCAACACACACACTCACACACAATCACAGACTCACACACACACACACACTCACAGACTCACACACACTCACAGACTCACACACACACACACTCACAGACTCACACACACACTCACAGACTCACACACACACACACACACACACTCACAGACTCACACACACACACACACACACACTCAGACTCAGATTCACACACACACACACACACACTCACACTCACACACACACACACACACACACTCACAGACTCACACACACACACACACACACTCACAGACTCACACACACACACACACACACACAGACTCAGATTCACACACACACACACACACACACTCACACACACACACACACACACACTCACAGACTCACACACACACACACACACACACAGACTCAGATTCACACACACACACACACACACACTCACACACACACACACACACTCACAGACTCACAGACTCACACACACACACACACACACACACACTCACAGACTCACACACACACTCACACACGAGGTGGCCTGGTCTCTCCTGGTGAGACCATACCTTCCATCCTCAGGACATGATGGGCCTTCCCATCCTTGGAACGCCAGGAAGGAAAGACAAGGTGTCCTCAGAGTCTGCTGTGCCCCTACTGTGTCTAGCAACCACCGGGGGAGCAAGTAGCCTCAGGGCAGTCCCAACAGTGCTGCTTACACAGTGCGGCTTACACTACCATCCCCCCGGACTCGGGGAGGTCGGCCATGATGCTCAGGCCCAGCCCGTGGCCCTTCAGGTGCTGACACGGCACTCCATCTCTGGTTATGATTTTTTTTCCTATTGACTGTAGTTGCCCATGTATGTGTCTGTCCTTCTCTCTAAATTGTGAAATTCTTTTACCCTAGGGGTGGTGATTCACTGGCCTAGCTCTAGCCTACTAGTTGGCACACAGTAGGTGCTTTAAAACTGTTGGTTGGGCTGAAACCGGTTTGGCTCAGTGGTAGAGCATTGGTCTGTGGCTGAAAAGTCCCAGATTCAATTCCTGTCAGGGGCATGTACGTTGGTTGCGGGCACATTCCCCAGTAGGGGGTGTGCAAGAGACAGCTGGTCGATGTTTCTCTCTCATCGACGTTTCTAGCTCTCTATCTCTCTCCCTTCCTCTCTGTAAAAAATCAATAAAAAAATATATATAAAATAAAAATAAAAATAAAACTGTTAGTTGGATGAATAATAGTAGTAAGTGCTCTGTGAATGATAGTTTCTCTGGGTCAGGTGATATGTTGAGGGCTTTTACAGACATTATCTTGAATAATCCTCACAACAACACTATAAGGTATATATGTATTGAACAGAGAGTTCAATACAGTTGCCAGCAACACACAGCTGGTGAGAGGTGTATGGGACTCAAACCCAGGCGGGACCAGGCCGTCACCCTGGACACAATCACTGAAAACTCTGAAAAACCTCAACTGCCCACAGCACATTCTGCTTAACCCAACTGATCTTGGGAAAATGGTTCTCATCTATAATTATAAAAGTATAATATGCTAATCAGACCGGACAGCCAAACAACCTTCTGGACGACCTTTCAGACGACCATGCTATGACACCCACTGGTGCCAGGCCAGCCAAGGCAAGTGTGATGCAATTTCTCTGCCGTGACTCTTCCTCCTTCCTTCTTCATCCAGCCCTTCAGCATCGGCTTCTGGGCAGCATCACACTGTCTGAGGACAAAGCCTCAGGCCTGCTGGCCACACAAACAGCGTTCCGGCCAAGCTACAGGTGGCATCTGGACTTCAGCTGTGTCACCCAGGCCCATGAGAGCAGGAAGACCCTAGGGACCACCCCACGAAACCAGACAGAGCCATGCCATGCTGACATCGGAGCCTGAGGCAGAGATCAACTACCCTGGCCCAGCCAGTCAGAGAGCCCACGACCCCACTCCTTCCGCCACCGCGAGGAATGACTTCCCTTCCACACAGCCCTCCCCGGACGCTATCGGGAGCCAGGCTCTGGGCACCAGCTCCCTGTGACTCTGGGCTGGCGCCAGTTCCTCAGCTGGTAAACCCTGCTTTCCTGGCTGTTAACTTCTGTTCCCATTTGGTTTGGCTTTGATGCACACCAGTGAATGGCCCTCCCCCCCTCCCTCTTTCTTGTGGTCGGACTGCTTAATGACCCTGTGTTGTTGCTCTACTGCCAGCCCTGAGGTGGGCGTCACAGTTTTGCTTTCAAGGTAAGAGAACTGTTTTTGGGTGTGTTTTTTCCCCCCCTCTCTTTTTCTTTTTATTTTATCAAAAATTTTGTTGATTTTATGCTGAAACCGGTTTGGCTCAATGGATAGAGCATCGGTCTGCGGATTGAAAGGTCCCGGGTTCGATTCGGGTCAAGGGCATGTACCTTGGTTGCGGGCACATCCCCAGTAGGGGGTGTGCAAGAGGCAGCTGATAGATGATTCTCATCGATGTTTCTAACTCTCTATCCCTCTCTCTTTCTCTCTGTAAAAAATCAATAAAATATATATTTTTTAAAATTTTGTTGATTTTTGAGAGAAACATCGATTTGTTCATCCACTCATTTATGCATTTATTGGTTGAGTCTTATATGTGCCCTGACCAAGGATCGAACCCCCAACCTTAGCACATTGGGACGATGCTCTAACCAACTGGGCTACCCAGCCGGGACCACTTTTCTCTCTTTAGAACACACATAAACTGGCTCTTCTTTACAAATGCCAAGACCACTGTCCTACACAGCGGGGGTTGGGTTAGGTTGTTATGTAGGTGTTTCCCACAAATGATGTTATCACTGGTCACAGTCACGTGGGAATGGCCAGACCTCACTCCCTCGGCATGTAAGACAGCAGAGAACAAGCCACTGAGATCTCCATGCGCACCAATGGCGGGTGGACCTCTTGCTGGCCCTGATGCATTTCCACTTATTCCTAAGCTTCTTTGAGGCCCAAGTTCATGACAATGAAGGCTGACGGTGCTTCGTTTGAATGTGCGGAGCCGTCCAGAACAGTCATTCGTTTAGATAAGCCTCAGCACGTGGCTGTGCGGCTTGCACGGTGTGTCCTGGGTCTCGGTGTGCACCCTTCCAGGGTGGGGCTTGTATGTGGGAAACAGTTCCCAGCCAGGATTGTAGTCAAGTTCAATGAAATGCTTTTAGGTCATTTCGTCTTAGACACCTCGGTTCCCCGCAGCAGCCACTGGGCTGGTCTCTCTTAGCCTAGTTGCCATGTCCACAAATCTCCGTGTGATCAGACAGCCAGGGTTTCTCTCGGAGGTACCTGATGGCTTCGTGTCAGGAAGCTGTCAACTCCAGATGCCGGCAGCTCCGGCCTCGGGGTGCTTGAGAGTCCGGGATTTATGCATGTGCCTTGCGTGAAAGCTTCAATACTGGGGTCTCCCTGATTCATGAGGGACCCCCGTCTTCCAGGCTGAGAGCTCTCGCCTGCTTGGAGTCTAGCTGACAAATTCTTGGTCGCCAGCTGTTTCCCACCTGGGCCTGGTCTCCATCACAGGCCAGCTCATTTGTAACGAAGTGCTCGGGTGAGGAGCGATGGGTGGGAATGTCTGCAGGCCTGTTATTGGCTATTTATGGCTTAAAGGTCCAGGAACAGAGCCAGGACATGTGGCCATCAGCCCAGTTACCTGAGAGCTGTAAGGGGCCCCTCGCCCCGGACTTCAGGGACACTCCGGTCCCCCATCACCTCGGGATTCTGTCCAGATTTCCTTTCAATGTAAAAAGTTCATAATGCCACATTCATTTTCCTGACTGACGAGGGTTGGAAAGAGAAAGAATGAGGGAGAGGGAAAGGGAGGCAATTTCAAGGGAGGGTGGACATTACTGTTAACAAAGGCAATCCAAAACTTAGAAATAAGGCCAGAAACGTAAGCCCCTGTCCTTGCAGTGCAGTACAAGGCGGCATCTAGTAATCTTGCTTACGCTCCCAGACTTAACTACGGATTAGTGCCCAGACGCCAGAAGCACAGCTGGTAACCTGCGGGAGCCTGGCAGGATGGAATTACTCTCGTCTGATAGAGATTGTGGTTTGATGATCCTCTACGACTCAGTGTTTCCCAAACTTTGACATATGTGTACCCCTGCTATAATTTTCGTAACACTGAGCATCCCTTGTACTCATGAGAACGTAGATTTAGGCGCAGCTAAGCACGGTGCAGTGCATATCCCCACCGAACTCTGGTGCAACGCGTACCCCCACCATACTCTTCCCATACCCTTGTGGGTAAGCGTACCACAGTTTGGGAAACACTGCTCTACGTTATTAAGCATTTCTGCACCTTACAATGATAGTATCCCATAATTCTCCACCATCCTTTTCTGCGTCTGTGTTTCTTAGAGTCTCCTTCCAACCTGTCTTGTCATCTCCTGAGTCCCCCGGAAAGAAACTGATGTGGACTGTTGCATAATTCTCAGATACTCATACTTCTCTATCTGTGAGTCCCTGGGTGGTGCACAGTGGGAGACCACCCAGCTGTCACCACAAGATGGATGCAAAAAAGATCCCATGCCCAACAATGTTGCATTATTGGGAGGTGTTTGTGTGGCAACTGTGTTCCACATTTTCCCATTTGGCAAGGCGGTGAGCTGCAGGGAGCGGGAGCTAGCATTTGTGCATGCTGTAGGGAGTGTTAGTATTTGTGCATGCTGGAAACGGCCTCATGCAGACTGAGACCCCTGGAAAGGTCCAGCTCCTCTGCTATGCCGGCCACGCCATTCTGCTTTGTTTGCGCAAATGAGGCCGCCACACTACACTCCAGTTCGCATGTGGTTGGCTTTTCAGCACTTGTGGGCAAGAAAAGACAACAGAGTAGGCAGGAGGCAGGTCCCGTGGCACATTCGAGTTACAACCCTCGTGGAGAATGTTGACATATAGGTGACTTCCTCCGATCCCCATCCCTTGCCTCCATGCCCGCCCCCAACCCCGCAAATACCCTAACATTTTACTTTGTCCCTTCTCCTTAAGGATTTTAAACCCATTTCCTCTCTAATCTGTGGATCAGAGCCTGAACCCTTACGTGCCCAGAATGCCCTCTTGATAGACGTTCGTGGAAGTGGAATCACTCTAAGACAAAGGCAAGCCTGTTGTCTGCTCCTGTCAGCTCTGAGGGAGTCACTGCTACCCCCCATGATGCCTGCGGTGCTGGTGGAAAGAATGGGATTCGTACTTGGCCAATGCTACCCGAGGTACAGTCCCGTGGCCAGTGCCCATGGAGTGATGGCTCCCCAGAACTGCCCTGCATGGAAGTCCTTCCATGGTCTCCACCCTCTGAACACGATGGGTCTTCCACATTGACCCCACCCAAGAGGCCCCTTCTGTAGCCATGGCGACCCCATGTCCAGCCCTGGAAACATAAGAGCCCCAATTCCTCAGCCTCTTGGCGGGTGATTTTCCATGGAGACCACCCCACCGGGTCATCCATCTTGACATCCACATCGTGATTTCTGAGGCTGACTGAGACTTTGCCTTGACTTGTCTTGTTGGTCACATTCCCTGACAGACTCACATGTGCTATTACTAATTACTGCATTTTCCAAACTGTGTGTTATGGTTTCAAGGGAGAGAAGATAAAGTTCTATGCTCTGATATGCTCATTGCTTTCCAAGAAGAAGGTAGAGCCATTATCCAGACCTATTTCACCCCAGATCCTCCCTTTTGGTCACACACTTGTTGATATCGTCTGAGATACAAGCACTCACCACGTCACGGCCTACCTCCCATCTATACCAATACATTAGAGACATTCTACCTACACCAAGCCTTCTTCATTCACGTTAGCATTTGTCTTTGGTGCTGAAAACAAGGAGGAGCAATGGCATGGCTAAGAACCCGGGGCACTTACTTGAGGGAGTCGAGAGCATCGCTGACTGCGTTGGCAAAATTGATATCTGTTGGGGAAGTTTTGTATTCCAGGCAGTAAGTGGGTCTGACACCAAGAATCTCAACCTCGCAGCCTAAGAAGGAAAAAGGTGGTGAATGGTTATTCTCTTCAGTGATTGAGGGAGGGCGATAAGCCTATTTCAGGATGTAAGCTCCATTAGTTTTCGTTTTGTTTTTTAACTGTTGTTCATTTTCAAGAAATTTAAAGGACTTATTGCTGATAAGTGGCATATTTAACTGTAATTTTGTTTAACTGGGGCAGAAATTCTCAAATGTCATTCCTATTCAACATCAGTGTCCCCTAACAGGGACTAACAGAAATTGGTTAATAACTGTCTTTCTTAATTCCTACATTTGAAACAAAAAATTTAATTAGTGCATAGAAATGTCTCAATTAAAACATTTTCCTATAGTTTTTTTTCATAACCACTAATTCTTCTTTGGTAGCATTGCCTATTCTAGAATCAGGTGTTAGGTACTAGTCCAGGAATAATAAAATAAGTAAGCATTTCACTAGTCTGACTGGACGTAGAGGGACTGCACTAGATTAGCAAGCCTAAAAATCACCTAGTGAACGCAAGGGCTCTGAGCCATGACCTCTCCCAAAATGAAGTTAAAGAATAGCAGGCACTCAGGTGTTAGGGGCTGCTGGGCCTCAGCCTCTCTGCCCCAGCCCCCTGGAAGGTAGAAGCAGTTGCCCTGAGGAAGAGACACCCAACCTTCTCAGGATCTAAGGCAGCAGAGGGTTGAGCCCACTTCCGTTTGAGTTAGTTGGTTACATTCATTGAGCACCTACTACCAACTAGTCGCCGTGTTCAGACCAGGCGGAAAGAGACATTTATTAGCTGGAGTCTCCCACCTGGAGCGTCTCGGAGAGAAGTCCAGAGGGAGGAGACACACAGGAAAACAGGGTACTATGTGAAGTCTGGGCGAGGCGGTGAGGGGCCCGTCCTCCTGGAAGCCCTTTTTGAATGCCCGTGTTGGGCTCAGTCTTGCAGACTGCATCTAGGCAACGTGTCGGGGGCTGGAAGTGAAGGTGGGAAAGAAAGGGACATCCCAAGCAAAGAGAGCAGCAGAAGCACAAGTTCAAAGTGAGAAGCAATAAGGTGTGTGTGGAGAACTGTCCACCCAACACAGCTCCAGACAAGGGGTGTCAGGAGACCAGATGGCGAGCTTTCTCGTAGCCCCGGGAAAATGATTTCCAAGGGGGATGTGAGTAACAGTGGGACAAGTTGGGAATGTGGGGAGAAAGGAGTGTCTGTCAAGAATCACATTAAGCCCACTCCTGGGCACAGCTGGTTACAGCTGGTAGCCATCTGGTCTGTAGCTGGTTACAGCTGATTTATTAGAAGGTGGGGCAGCCTCCAAGAAGAATTCCTTTACCCGGCATTCCGGAGCAAGCTCCGAGTGCTCCGCAGACACGCCATCCCTCTCTGGCTGACATCACGGGTGCAGGGAGAGCAAGTGTATCTAAGAGAGGCCCAGAGGCAGGAAGCTGCCTTCCCAAGATTTGTTTGTTGAGAAGGATGATCAGGTGAGAGGCCCCAAGGATTCTTAGAAAATATTCATCACTGGAAGAAATGCCAGTGGGATCTTGGCCAGTTACAGCACTTAAGATACCTGCGTTTTATCAGTTGAAGATTAATTTGTGAATGTTTGTTGTTCTCTCAAAGCTATTTCCTCAGCCAGGTATAAGTGGGCCCACACTTTGTGTCTATCTGTGCTCAAGGCCAACAACCCAAATGCAAGCAAGACACCACTTATCCTGCAAAAGATTACCAGCCTTACATAGAGCAGCCAGGTAGCTGCTGCTGGCACATCTGACATGTAGTTATGGGAGTTTACAAGCAATGGCATTTGACCATGCTTTTGCAGATAAAGTAAACTGTGTTGAGAAGTTCTGCCGTGGAGTGATGGGCACACTGTGCAATATTCAGATCTTCTAAGATAGAAACCCACACCTGAAACCTATACAATCATGCTGACCACAAGTACTCAACTAACACATTTCATAAGTAAAAAGCTGCACAATTTTTTGTGTTTATTCATTAATATCAAACCATCAGTATTTTGTGTAATAATAATTACGTTTGTTAATATTATCAATCATATATTCTTTTAAAGCTTTGTTGGATTAAAACGAATCTGGATTTAATATTAGCATAGTTATATAGTTTGCCTGAGAAATGTATACTTGCCTAGGTTAAAGGATGATGTAAAAAATTATTGATTAATTACATGAAGTTATACAAAATGTGTGGCAACATAGACCTGTTGTAACACTGTTATGGATTTTTTTTTTAATTTTTAGAAATTACAATGAATTTAACTTAAGGACCATGGCAGCATCCTTCCAGGATTGCATCCGTGTCTTCGAATCTTCCCTGGTTGCATGTAGCCTGTGCAAAAGTCCCCCTCAGATAATAGGCTTTAGAAGCTGCTGTAATTCCTGGATCCATTGGTTACCTCAAAGAGGTGGTGGCTCGAAGGAGAATGTCCACTCTGACATTAGGAAAAAGATAAGCAGTAAAAGGACGATGTTCAAGAGCGGGGTCAACAATAAGTAAAATCTTGAAAGGTACGTTATTCTCCAAGCATCCTTCTCTCCATTTCACTGGCATAGCAAGCCAGCAGGCAACCTGGGGGAGGAGCGGGGTCACCCTGACTTTTCAGGCCCTGGCAGCTCACTGGCACGAGTGCTTACACCTGCGCTGGAAGGCCCTGGGGTTCCCACCTGCCAGAGCACACAGGGTTTCAATTTGCATCCTGCAACATTGCCCCCAAGCAAGATGGCCATCCAGTCCTTAAGCGCCCTGAACCTGATACCCACTTGGCCTCCGTGTGGACGAAAGTCCTTCCAGGCGCTCATTTCCAGATTAGGGAGGTTTATCAACTTGACTATTTGCTTTGGCAAGTCATTCTCCTCCACCGTCAGCTTATCTGGAGTTTCCAAAAATTCCTCAGCTGCCTTCACACCAGCACTCCCAGCTAACCCTCGCGTTCACATGATGTAATTAATGTAATTGATAACGATTCTTGCGTCATTTAAACCACCCAGAGCTAAAAGTCAATTCAACATAGTAGGTGGGCCCAGCCTCTTCTCTCAGCACCGCAGACGCTTTGCCTTGGCCATGACCGCCGCGGTGCTGAGGGGAAAGTCCTGTGGCTGGTCTTTGATCCAGGCCGTTCGGAGTTTCTGTGTGTCTGATATGTGCCCTCCTCAATGTGGTCTCATTGCCTTCAGACCCTCCAATGAAGCAGACCCTTCACTTTGTCCTTGTTCTTCAAGCTCGTAGCGATGGTGGGAGGGACGTGCGTGGCTGGAGAACAATAACCACTGCCGATTTTCCACCTTTGTAGTCCTTCATCACTTTTATTTCACTTCAGGCCAATCGCTCAGCTTGGCCTCTTATTGGCGACTTTAGCAGTGGGTTTTGTATACTTAGGGGCCATGATAAATTTAAAAACATGCACAGGAGAAAATAATGCAGTCAAGAGACTCAATGAACACAAGATGTATGAGGCTGCTGCCACCCTAATACAAACGTTGTCAGTAGAGAGATATAAAGAATAATAGATAGAGAAGATGTATCTATGTAAAATATAAAATGTAGTTATAGGAAGACATGGAGGATTGGGATGTTAGTATCAATAAGCTGAATGCAAGTCCTGCAGACACGGTTACTTTGAATGGAAGTTATACCTCCATGTGCCCCGAGCAGGACTAGACTCCTACCCCCAAGTGGACAGAAATGGGGAGAAATGGAATCTTTCGGCTCCCTTGTCCAATGGCCTCTCCTTGGTGAAGTCTCAAAAGGAGAAGCAGCCCGAGCCAATTTGGCTCAGTCAGCCTACTCTATGGACTGAAGGGTCCCGGTCCAATTCCAGTCAGGGGGACATGCCGGGCTGTAGGCTTGATCCCCAGTAGGGGGCGTGCAGAAGGCAGCCAATCAATGATTCTCTCTCATCATTGAGGCTTCTATCTCTCCTTCCCTCTCACTCTCACTCTCTGAAATCAATGAAAATATATTTTTTTAAAAAGAAGCATTTTCCCTTACCTCTAACCTTCTAACCCAGAATGAATAAATGACAGGGAAAGCAGCCAGCAAGAAATGACAGCCATGATGTAATGGAACATGAGCTAGTGAACTGGTGGTTTAGAGAGAGCAAGGCTAATTTTGCGTCATGAATTAGTGCGGGTGCTTGGCTTTGTTTTCCTTGGTGTTTATCTGATGGAAATCAGCCGACTGGAGGGGGCATTGTGCGGATGGATCCCACGAGATAGTTCTCTGGCCCCTCTCTGGATCTATCACAGGTGAGTGCATTGCTCAGCCTCGGGGCTGCTGTCTCCAGGCCGTTTCGGGGCCTCCCCAGGAGCATGGGGTCTGGTTAGAGGAGGTCATTGCAGGTCACTCAGAGGTGCCTGCCTCTGCAGGGGGATCTGTGGGGAGCAGAGGCGGTGGCCTGGGCCTCGCGGTTTCACAGCACAAACAGAAGCTTTGGAGTGAGATTCTGGTTTCACAGCCACTCCCAGGGCAGGTCTGACTTTGCACCACCTTGTTTGCTCATGGCTCCCAGGGAAATTGGATGGAAATTACCCCTAATTTACCCTTAATTAGGGTTCATTTCTAGGGCATCGTCTCATCTCTGCTTCGAGTCCACTTTCCCACTGATATTCCCACCTGAGGCTGCGTGAGCATCCTCTCCCACTACCGCATGCAGATGCCCTGAGGAGAACACAGTTACAGGGCCTCACAGACAACCTGAGGAGAACACAGTTACAGGGCCTCACAGACAACCTGAGGAGAACACAGTTACAGGGCCTCACAGACAGCCAGAGGGCCACCTCAGCACAGGCACCTTTGTGCAAAATAAATAAAGGAATGAAGGAATGAAAAAGACATTTCTTCAGCCCGGCCAGTGTGGCTCAGTGGTTGAGCATCAACCTATGAACCAGGAGGTCATGGTTTGACTCCTGGTCAGAGAGCATGCCTTGATTGCCAGCTTTATTCCTAGTAAGGGTCATGTGGGAGGCAGCCAATCAATGATCCTCTCTCATCATTGATGCTTCTTT